TGCATGGCAGCAGAGGTATGTGCCGCGGTGCGGTCCCGTCTAGTTGGCTTGAAGGCCGTCTGCCTCTTGACCACTCACCCATGCTCATCCACCCGCCCCGCCCGCTCCCCTCTTGCCCCCTGCTCCTCCCTCCTGCCCCAGGGGGCGATGAGGAGGCGGCCGAGGTGTGCAGCCTGGCTCAGCTGCCCCCCCGGGGCGCCGCGGAGGCCGGCTCCAGCCCCTCCACCTCCAGCAGGGTGGGATCCGCCCCGGCCCAGCACACCCCACACCCACACCAGCATCCCCACCAGCAGCATGCCCACCCCCACCCCCAGCAGCACCCCCAGCAGCAGCAAGGTCGGGGTCAGGGACACGGGCAGCAGGGTCGGCATGGCGGTGGTGGCGGGGGCGGGCGGGACACCCCCCCTCATGCCCCCCGGCACCTCCCACAGGACCCCCGCGCAGCAGCACCAGCCCACCGGGCCCCCAAGCACAAGCGCCGGCGGGTTCAGGATGGCGGGCGCCGCGGTTGGGGCGGCCCCTGCAAGCGGCGGGGGCGGCGGTGCCGGGTTTGGGTACAGGGGTTTCGGAGCGGCAGCAGCAGGAGCGGGGGCGGGTTGGGCGACACAAGGTCCGCCCACGTTTGGGGCGGGAGCCCCTGCAGGCGGTGGTGGAGGAGGCGGGAGTGTGCTGTTTCAGACGCCGGTGCAAGGGCAGCAGGGCGGCGGGGGGCTTTTTGCGCCGTCGCCCGTGCCGACGTTTGGAGGCGGCGGGGACGGCGGGGGCAGCGCCGGCGGGTTTGGTTTTGGCTTTGGGGTGCTGCCCACAGGCTGTATGCCTGCGAGCGTGTTACCGGGAGGTGACGGGGGTAACGGAGCTGCTGCTGCTGCTGACGGTGCTATGACGGGCGACGGAGGCAACGGCGCGCCTCCGAGCACGGGTGGGAACCTGTTTCGTTTCATGGGAGGCGGCGGCGGAGGAGGAGGAGGGCTGTTCGCGACGCCGTCGCCTATGGGGATGGGGCCGCAGCCGCCGGCTCCGCCTCAGAAGCAGCAGCAGCATTCCGTTGGGCATGCGGACGGTGGGTGTTGGGTTGGGGGTGCGGGTGAATGAGTGGGGGGGGGGTAAGGAGGAAGAAACGAGGGGGGAAGTGAGGTATCAGGAGGCATGGCGGTGCTGGCAAGGATGTTGCCGAGCTTGTGCATGCGGCGTGCGTACCTAGCATGGTGAAGAGGGAAGTAGGGGGAGCAGGGAACTGAGAGAAGGCAGGGAGAGGGGAGGAAGGCGAAGGCGGAAGATGAAGAAGATTGGGCGATTACATATTTACATTACTGTGGCATGCTGGCGGCTTTCAAACCCCGTGTTTGTCGTTGTCGGCGTCCTACGCAGTAACCTCTCCCTGTCCGCTCATCTCCCCGCCCCATCCCCGCTCTCCCCACCCCTCCTCGCAGTTCCCTTCCCTGGCTTCTCAGCTCACGCTAGCGGCGCGGCGGGCGGTGGCCCCCCGCCCAGCGGCCCGGGCTCTGGGTCGGGCAGCGGGCCGCACCGCATGAGCCGTGTGGTGGAGGAGGGGGGCAAGGTGAGGGCGGGGGGGGAGGGGGGGCAGCGGGCCGCAGGTGGGGGTTGGGTTCACAGGATGGAGGGGGTGATACCTTTTCTGGCAAATACCCGTTCCAACCCCTCACTCCGCGCCTCCAGCATGGCGCCTCCCAGTCATCGCCCGCCCATTGCACCCCTCCTACTGCCCCCACCCCTCCCTCCCCCCACCCTTCCCCCCACCCCTCCCTCCCCCTCCGCCAGCAGGTCCGCAAGGTGTCCAGCAAGCTCTTCAACGACCCGCACTCCGCCACCGCCAGCGTCCGCCGCCGCAGCCAGCGCCTGGCAGCACTCAACTCCGCGGCTTCCGCTTCAGCAGCAGGAGCGGGGGAGCAGGAGGGGCCTCCGCAGCAGCGCATGGCGCTTCAGGACACCACCACAATCACCATCAAGCAGCGGGGGGAGGGGGAGCAGGGGCGGGAGGGGGTGGGGCGCAGTACGGCGGCCACCACCCGCACCTGTACGGCGGGCCGAGTGGGGCGGCGAGTGTGGTGGGGCAGGCCAAGTCAGGACAGGCGAGCTACATGGAGGTAGGGTGGAGGGGTGGGGGGCTGGGAGGGTGGGCAGCTGGGAGGGGCTGTGGGGCTTGCCAGGTCCTGGGAAGAAAGGTGGCTGGACACACGGGCGATGCGGGCTTTGCTTTGGGACTAGTTTCGATAGTGAAAATGTTTACGTGCTAGCCTTGAGCTTCACTTCAAGCCGGGCGCTATCAATCCCGGATCCCCAACCTGGTGCTGCAGGGGGCCCCTCCGTCGCTCCTCTCGCCTCACAGCGCCTCCCTCCCTCGCGGCCCTCCCTTCCCCCTCCCCCAGTCGGGATTCGGGATTGGGACTCCGTTGATTCATTTATCTACATTTTTCCCCCTCCCCCACTCCCTCCTGCCTTCCCCCCTCCCCCGCTCCTCGCTTGGGTGACAGGGTTGTTTGGGGAGCCTTGTGAGGCCCCGCCCTGTCGTTGATGCCTTGTCCCCTTTTTTACCTTCATACCACTCACCGATAACGGACCCCACATGCCCCTTACGACTTGCTTTGCTCGTCTCCCTATTTCCTTTTCTGTTTCTTACACCCCGTCCTTTCCTCGTCACCTTTACCACCTTAACTATCCCTCTCCCCTACCACTGTCGTCTAACAACATACCCTTTGCACCGCACTCCTTTTGATAATTACTTAAAATACTGATATTGCGTTCTCCCTCTCTTTCTCTATCTTTTCCTAACTTGTCGTACTCCCCATCGCGAAGGTCTATTTTGTTTAGCCCTTCGTTTACTAACACCCTCTCTTTTCCACTTTTGTGGTCGAGTCTTCTTCACCTTCATACAGCCTTTCGTCAATATCCAGCTCAGCCATCGCAGCTATCAGCCTCACTGGGCGCATACCTGCTTTTCCTCGTTTTCCTTGTCAACACGCCTTCTTTCAAACTAACGTTTCGGTACGCTTTCGCCTCCAATTCTACCTTGCTATGCAGGTTAGTCAGGGTTCGCACTAGTGGGTGGGCTGGGCTTTGTTAGACCCATGGGTCATTGCGAGGGTCGGGCAGGGTGGGATGCTTTGGTGCACACAGCCGCATGACAGCCCCAGCTAAGCAGCGGAGCTTACATACGTGATGCTGCTGACAGCATTGCAGCACAGACAGCAGGTGCAGCGCAGCGGCGCCGGTTATCACAGTAGCAGCCGCCTTTTATTCGCCAATACAGAGTGATTTCAAATCACCTTGGCAGCCGCCATGGAGCTTACAATACGGTTTGTTATTGATTATTGCTACTAACTACAATACATTGCTATCCCTAAAATCCAGCCTAAGGCGGATTACGTCTCCAAATTAATCCCCCGCTCCCTCCTGCCTCCCCCCAGGGTGACAGCCAGAACACCCCCGACCCGCGGGACCCCCCTCCCGCCCCTGTGCACCAGCAGCTGCACCCGGACGCAAAGCTGGCGGCACCGGGGGCAGCAGCGGGGGCGGGAGCACCCTCACCGCAACCGCTCTTCGCAGCTTTCGGCGGGCGACATGGGCAGGGCGGGGCGGCAGCAGCGGCAGCAGCGGGGGGCCAGCAGGGCGGGGCAGCAGCTGGTGCGTGGGAAGAAGGGAGGGTTGGGTTCTGGCGGGAGGATTGGGAGGAGGTCGAGGGTTCTGGAGTTTGTGGGGTTACACAAGCGCGGCCGTGGACGGTGTCGACGTGCAGAACCGGCCGGAGAAATGGCGCGATGCACTTGCACTCCTGCCATGCCATTTACCCCCTCCCCACCACCCCATGCACCCATCCTCGCGCACCCCTCCAAGCTCCTCCTCTCAATCCCCGTGTGCATCCTGCCCTTATTGCAGCCGCCGCGGCAGCAGCCGCAGCCGAGAGCCGCGCCGCGCTGCTGCAGTTGCTGACTCCGCTCATGGAGGGGGTACGGCACCTGGCGTCGTACCGCTGCTCCGAGGCGATTGCGGCGCTGGGCAAGCTGCCGGTGTCGCAGCACCGCACGGCCTGGGTGCTGTGTGCGCTGGGGAGGGCTTACTTTGAGAGCATGGACTATGCGAAAGCAGCGCAGGTGCGGTGTGGGGTAAGGGGTTAAGAATGATAACTTGATAAGGGCAGGGCAGCAGCGGATAAACGGATGAGTGCAGCAAGGGCTAAGGGAGGACACGTGTGCGGAAGCCGAGCGGGCGGGTGGGTGGCTTGGCGCCGGTTGTGGGCTCTCCTCTCCGTCAGTGGTTGTTCCATGATCTCCACCAGGTCTCTGCTCCTGTCCTCCTTGAGCCGCATGCGCTTCACGCCACTAGTTACAACCCCCATGCACTTCACCTCATGCAACCCCTGCCGTCTCCTAACTTGTATCATTATCATACCACACTTTGGAATTTCTTTTTTACCCCCTTTGCTTTACCCTAACCTACGGTTTCCTATGCTATGGTATGGCCTCCCCCCCTCCCTCCTCCCCCCCCCCCAGAGCTTCGAGCAGGCCCGCCAGCTGGATCGCACACGTGTGGAGGGCATGGAGCTGTACAGCACGCTGCTGTGGCACACGCGCCGCGAGTACGAGCTGAGCCACCTGGCGCAGGAGTGTAGCGCCACGGACCGCCTGGCGCCGCAGACGTGGTGCGTGATGGGCAACCTGTTCAGCGGGCAGAAGGAGCACGAGGCGGCCATTGAGTTCTTCCTGAGGGCGGCGCAGGTGGGGAGGTGGTGGTGGGTGGTGGGGTAATAACAAGGAAAACTGACGAACTGAAAGACGGGGCTTCTCCATGGTGGGTGGTGGGGGACGGGGTTGGGGGGGGGGGGCGGGGGGGGGTTATAGAGGGAAGGCAAGACATGCGTGAGGGCAACGCACACGTGAGGGAAGGTGGGGGTGATGGGATGAAACACGGGTTAGGACCACGGGGAGGCCGGATGGGAACGGGTGGAATGGTGAGTGGGTGTGTAAGGGGGGGCCGGGATGAGTGCGGGTGCAGGGGTCGGAGGTGGAGCTGCAACCTGGGTTAGGGCGCGGCGATCGGTACCGCGGTGGGTTGCCGGCTAGAGGTGAGCGGTGGGGGGTGGGGACGTGGGCGGAGGTGCTTGTACTTCCCCTCATGCTCCCCCACCCATCCCCCATCATGCCCATCCCCTTACAGCTGGTTTTCGGTCACCATCCCCTTCCCCTCACCCCACCTCTCCCCTGCCTTTGCTTGTCGTCTTGTTCGCCATTCCCATCCAACACACTGGTATTTTCCTTTCCCTTTCCCTCCCCCCTCCTTGCTCCTCTCCCTCCCCCCCCCAGGTCGACCCCACCTTCACCTACGCCTACACGCTGGCGGGTCACGAGTACCTGGCCAACGAGGACTTCGACAAGGCCGCCGCGTGCTACCGCTCCGCACTCAAACTGGACCCGCGGCACTACAACGCCATGTGGGTCGGGCTGGGTTCCTTTACATTCTCAGACTTCCCATTCCCTTTTCTATTCCTGTACATTTCAAGGCTTTCAATGTTCTATACCTGTACATGTCAAGACTTTAAATGTTCTATTCCTGTACATCAAGGGGAAAGAGCGTGGTGGGTTGGGTTGGATGGCGTTGGTGGGTGGCGGTACGTAGATGAGGGTGGTTGCCTAACGGTTTGTTCCCCGTCACTTTCCCTCACCATACCCCACCTCCACCCCCCTGCCCCTCCTCTTCCGCATCCACCTTCTGTCCCGCTCCCTCCCTCCCTCCTGCCTCTTACTTCCCCTTCCCTCCTTCCGCCTGCCCCTTTCACGTCAACCCAGCAACTGTCACCCCTCCTTTGCCCTTCTTCCTCTCCTCCTCACCTCCCCCCCTAGGTACGGTTTGGGTCAAATTGCGTACCGGCAGGAGAAGTACGGCGAGGCGCTCCAGAACTTCCGGCTGGCAGCCGCCGTGAACCCGCGCTCCTCCGTTCTGCGTTGCTACGTGGGCATGAGCGCCGCCAAGCTGGGGCAGCACAGCCTGGCGCTGGAGAAACTGCAGGTGGGGAGGAAGAGGGGTGGGGGTAGGGGAGTAATGCAGGTGGGGAGGAAGGAGGGAGGGAGGGGTTTGGAATGCAGGTGGGGTGGCTGGGGGGTGTAATGCAGGTTGGGAACTGCACAGGATTGCGTGTAGTAGTGGGGTCAGTGGGGTTTGAAGGGGGTGCGTAAGAGGAGATGGTTCCTCTTCCCCTCCCATCCCCTTGCGTTTCCTAACCCGACTGCATTTGTGACTGCATGCAATCCTTCACGCCAGCTTGTGTGCGGAATACCCACCTCCTATCATACATACCCTCCTATCATACATCCCCCCCTTCCCCCCCCCACCTGCAGGAGGCGATCCAGCTGGACCCCGCCAACCCGCTGGCGCGCTACGAGCGATCCGCGGTGCTGGCCTCGCTGGATCGGGTGCAGGAGGTGGGTGGTTGGGGAGGGGAGGGAGGGAGGGGAGGAGGGAAAAATATAGATTAGTGCATCAACGGAGTCCCAGGAAGGGAGGGGAGGAGGAGGAGGTGGTAGTGTTGGTGTTGGTGGGGTTAACGGGAAAACCGGCTGGGAGAGTAGGAATGCACCCACCCCTCCTGCCCCTCCTGCGCCGCCTATCCTGCAATCCCCTCCCGCCCCTCTCCTTCCCCCCCTCCTCCTCCTCCTCCTCATTATCATACCACACTTTGGAATTTCTTTTTTCCCCCCCACCTGCCCCCCCCCACCTGCCAGGCCCTCTCCGAGCTGCAGGCACTGCAGCGGGTGGCGCCCGGGGAGGCCAGCGTGGCCTTCCAGATGGGCAAACTGTACAAGCGGCAGAACAACCTAACGGTGAGGGGGGGAGGCAAGGAGAAACAACAACCCAATCTAAGGGGAGTGATTCGGAGGTGGACATAGTCCGCACAAGCTGGCAATCCACAGAAACCGACACAGCCAACGCGGTTTTCCCGCTACCCCGATTCCCAAAACCGTTTTGTTCCTGCTACCGACCCTCCCCTGCCTCCCCCCCCCTGCAGGCGGCCCAGCAGTCCTTCGAGCTGGCCCTCAGCTACAGCGGCGGCAGCTCCAGCGACGCGGCCACCATCAAGGCGGCCATCGAGCGACTGAGCCTGGAGGAGGACGAGGACGAGCAGGAGATGTGAGGGGGGGGTGACAGGGGCAGGGGCAGCAGCAGCGGCGGCTGGTTAAACACAGCAGCACCCGCGGCTGGTCTAGGAAGGGGCGCTATCGGGGGCGCTGGGGGGTAAGGAGGAAGAAACGGACGAGCTGTAGGACAGGCAGGCTTCACCAAGGGCTAGGAGGGGCGGCTTTTGAAAGGGCGTTGCGTGTGGCTGGCTTGGGTTAGTTGGGTGCTTGGGGATGTGCAGAGGCGGGTGCATGGAGGTATGTGATGGAGGGCGTTGCAGGGCCTTGCTCGCCCTCTTCTCTTGAAGCATTTACATAGTTAATAATGGTTTAGCCGTTAGGTCTGATTGGGGGATTGGGGAGGAGGATGGGTTTGAGGGGGGGTGTACGGAGTGCGCTGGGAAACAGGATCAGAAGGCGGTGGCTGGGGTGATGCCGGTGGGAAGGGGAGGCTCGACGAGCTACGGCTTTGTGTGGGGGACCTAGGGAGTAGAGCGGGAGCTTAATTTGGGCGTGCAGATGCGTTTTCAGGCATACATGCCACGTGCCAGCTGCCGTGGGGGTATGTTGCGAAAGACGGGTGTGGCAGGAACATGGCAGCCTCGTTGAGGACTACTTGCGTTGCAGGACAGGAGCGGCATGCCGAGGAGAGCGCTCTCAGGTTGCAGGGTACTGCTGGTCATCTGACTGGGGTGGGCTGACGAGAGGTTGGTTGGGACGTGAGAGCCCGAGGAAACAGGGAGCACGGTAGTCTGGGTGGGAGGTATGTAGGCAGGCGAATGCAAACGAACTGTGAGGAAAGAGGTTGTGTCTTAGGTAGCCTACTTCGTAGATTGTGGTATGCACGTGTTTGACACATTTAGTCAACGAGGTCACGTTTGCATGATGTCGCCATCCGTTGTGAGGGAGAATACGTCGAAGGGGGCGGTCGCGGCTTCATGGTATGACGACCCAGTCGTACGAGATTGACACCCCGCAACACGGGGTTACGACTGGCGAGTTCTGAAGACGCCAGCTTGGGGGATGTCGGAGGAAGGATGGTAAAGATCTCCAATTGCAGGAGGGCAGTCAGCTGCGACGTTTACCAAGGCAGTTTAGGTTTGACAAACTCAGGATAAGGCTTCGCCGCTGTAATGATGCTTATCAGCGCAGGGTTAGCGAGGTTACGTGGGTCTGTGTTTAAGGGGCCCTGAGAGGAGCATGCTGGGTATGACAACACTTGGTGAAGTACACAGAACGCGGTGTGTAGCAAACCATGTACCGGAAGGTCCAAAGGTGAGACTGAAATGAGGCACTTGCATAGCTCCACTGGCAGTACAGACCGGTGACGTGTAATGGCAGGGCAAAGTAACCTGTGAAACAGCTAGGGTGCTAAGGGATGTTCAGACCAGTCACTGCTGGTAGTCTCCTGTAACCGAGGGAAGCACGTCAAGTTGTCAGGTAACGGGTGCGGGAATCACAAGTCAGGCATGGAGCACATCGCTGACGTGTAGTGGCAATACATGGGTTAGTCGCGCCTCCTACATACATTAGGTTTGCTAATGCGGAGCGATTATGTAGTCATCATGCGCGTACTGCGGTTATCGCTGAGTGCTGAGTGCCTATCGTGCTGCCATGTTTTCCGACAGGGGCCGCGCCTGAATTGGAAACGGGGAAGAGGAATGCCGTCTAGTAGTAGTTACCCAAACATACAAGATGTGAAGGAGTATATGCGTGCTCATGCGCCGCTAGCCATGGCAGAAAGTAGCCGTACACTATTTGGCAGTTCCGTGGGAAGGCGAGACGTCCTTGGCATTTCGATTAATATACATTCTAACGTTGATTTCTACAATACAGATACGTTGTCGTTGGCACGTGGCGTAAGCAAGCAGTCTTTCAGTACGCGCTTTCTGGGTGGCAGTCAACCATGGCCGAGGATTGCGCGCAGCAGGTCTTCATCAAATATGCCAGTATTGGAAAGACAGGGGTAGGTCTCACGGTATATTGACGCGCCGCTTGCGCCGAAGGAAGTTACCCAACATGTCGCGTAACCTCTGTCGACTGCGAACCGCTTATGCAGGTGACCCTTGCTAATGCAACAGTAGATGGCGCTAAGTTTGCAAAGCTGTGCCGAGAGAGCAGGCTGGTGTGCGGGGCCCTAACGCCCATGGATGTGGAGGCCATCTATTTGCGCGTATCAAAGGGCTTTTCTCGCATCAATTACGAGAGTAAGTTATAACTTTGACCATACTAACGATAGACTAATTTGCCTTAGAATTGATGTCTTAGCCCTTGCCCTCCTATGTATGCCCCTGAGTACCTAAAGCCGTTCAGTAACTTTGGGCGCTTCCGTGCCCGTGACCATGAACTAGCCCCCTCACCCCTCATTTGGTACCACCTGTGCCAGTTTTACCTCCCATACTACTTAAGCTACCATCGATGCGTGCTGCTCGGCTTTAACCAAGCCCACCCGCGTTCTCCCGCTCCCGTGCCAAACCCGCTTCCTTTACCAACTCTCGTGGATGTCAAATAACTGCAATACTCTTACCCCATCCTCCATAATCCGTCCTTCAATCATGCCCTTCTCCACTCCAATGTTGTTCCCTTCCTTCACTCACCACCCGCCTCGCATTCTCCCGCAGCCCTTATCACAACCCTTCCGCCCGCCATACTCAGCGGCCCCGAATGACCACCATACCGAGTCATAAACGCCTTTCTTTCCTTCCTCCCCCTAATTTTCAGCCCATCACCAAAACACCAGCCCTATGACCATAACCCTCCTTGACCTCTTTCCCCCCTCTCCTCCCCCTTCTCCACTCCCTCCCTCCCTCCCTCCCTCCCTCCCTCGCAGCCTTCCTCAAGGCGCTCGCCGAGATCGCCGCCATCAAAAAGGTTTCCCTGGACGCGCTCTTCAACAAGCTGGCGGAGGTGGACCCGCTGGCGGCTACCACCAAGGCCGACTATGTACGGCACCACGATGACAAGGTACGTGTACGGCAGTTTCGTGTTACGATTGGATTGGACGGATGGCCCGGCTGGTTGGGAGGAGGGCCACCTGCCCGTGTGTCGCCATGAGCCGATGACACCCAGTCTCATAAGGGTCATAACCGCTGGGTAGTTGATAAAAGTAGCGGCTGTTGCTGAATGCGGTTGCGGGTTGCGTAAAAAGGAAAGCAGGGTGCGTGTGTATGTGCACATGAGCCCGGCGCCCACCCCCAACCGCATGCGCCGCGCACAACCCAAGGCGCATCAAGGGCATATCAGGCGTCCCGTGTGCTTGCAGCTGCTGCCGGGGCTGCGGTTCCTTGCGGTTGCCGCCGTCACGGCAGCAGCTGCAGCCAACTGCGCGGGTTACAGCAGCAAACCGCCCTCATGCTTGGCAGGACAACACGTGCTGCGGAGCTTGCCCGCATGCCCGTCCCGCACCCGCGGCCTGTCCGTCCGCAACCCCTGGAGGGGGACCCACCTGCACCTCCCTGCCTTGCCCTTCCTTGCAACTCCTCCTGCCTGCCCTTCCTTGCAACTCCCTGCACTGCCCTTCCTTGCAACTCCTCCTGCCTGCCCTTCCTTGCAACTCCCTGCACTGCCCTTCCTTGCAACTCCCTGCACTGCCCTTCCTTGCAACTCCCTGCCTTGCCCTTCCTTGCAACTCCTCCTGCCTGCCCTTCCTTGCAACTCCCTGCCTTGCCCTTCCTTGCAACTCCTCCTGCCTGCCCTTCCTTGCAACTCCTCCTGCCTGCCCTTCCTTGCAACTCCCTGCACTGCCCTTCCTTGCAACTCCTCCTGCCTGCCCTTCCTTGCAACTCCCTGCATTGCCCTGGGCCAACCTCCTTGCACCCCGCTGCCCAACCCATGTCTGCCACTCGCCCACTCCGACCTCCCCGACCCGTCCACCATCCTAACGGTGTCCTCGCTTTCCCCTAACTCGCCTCGACTTGGCAAGGTAATTCCCTAACCTCCGACCTTCCGTCTTTTCAAATCCCCCCTCCCCTCCCCTCGCCTCCCATGCAGAGTACCTACACGGGTGTCTACCGCCACGGCGGCCCCCGCCACGCCGCCGGAGCCAAGTAAGGGGAAGGGAAGAACCCCAAACCCAACCAACCGCACTGCCTTCTTACTGCTACCGTTAGGCGGTTGGCTGTTAGCCGTACTTCCTTCACAGATGAGCTGTGTGGTTGCGTGCGAGTAACAGGGTTCGCGTTTGAGGTTGTTAGCGGGGCGGGGGTGTCATTTTTTGGGGTTAGGGCGATGGGGAGGAGGGTTGAGTACACGCGTGTTGGCGGGGTGGGTGTGTGAACACCTCGCGGAGCAACACGTGATGCAGGATATGCGTGTGGAGGTGGGTGGCCAGGGGAGCTATTTAGGGGGCAGGTTGTCTTCTTGTGGGCGTTTTTTCAGCTTGTCTGCTGTTCGTGTGCGTGTGTCTGCAACAGCTTAGTCTATTACTGCGGCTGCCGCTAGTCGTTCAAGCACCGCTGTTCCAATAAATAAGCTTGCGGCTTCCCAAGCTCATGCAACGGCAGTCCGGTTTCGAAGCGCGCGTCCATAGCTTTGGTTGGAGTGCACCTGGACCGCGAGACGTTGGGGCGACGCCCGTCTCCCTTCGAGCGTATGACCAGGTTGTTGTGACCAGTCGGTTGGAGGCCCTGCTGGGTGGTTGTAAGTTGTGCGTGCGTGCTCCTGGACTTGGCGTGCGTTACGTCGCCTTCACTGGTGTCGTTGTGTGCGTGCAGTTTGGTTGTGCAGTTGCCCGGCGAGTTGCTTTGATAACCTGTGCGCGTTGACTGTCCGTTTACCATGACCGCATGGGAGGCACGGGCGTACGGCTGCGGGCACGTTGCCCAGCGGGCACGTGACGTATGTGCTGAGCGGCTTCGTCTGTTTGCTTGCTCATGCTGCGGCGAAGCAGCACCAGCTAACAGACAGCAATAGCTATTACAGCATTTGCTGCGGCCGAGCCGCCTTAGCGTGCCCTTGCGGACCTTCATGCTAGCGAGCGGTTTCTGGGTTGCGAGGATCTGTGTGCCTGGTAGCTGCTTGGGTGGGTGTTGAGTGGTGTATACATCTTGCGGCTGGTGTGTGTGTGTGTGTGCTGCTGTGTGTGTGCCCCATGGTGACGACGTGTGTAACTTATGTGGTAAAGGACGCGCGTCGATTGACATGATGACATACCTACCATGGTGGGGTGGGACTTCAGGTGTGTGCCTGTGTGGTGCGGTGGCCGTCGAGGGTGCGAACCCAATGGACAGGGAAAGGAGCCCTGGCAGCTCTGCAGTGCTTCCAGCGCGCGCGTGTGGTTTCAGGGAGACCTTTCCTACACGCACGGTTGTGTACTATGGCATGACGTGATTAGTTAAGTAAGATCCCCCTGATCCCCGTGTAGTGTCGTATTCATTATCGGCCAATGGCGCGGCATTTGTGTACGGCAAAAAAGTGTCAGTGGTAGTATTACGACATAACTCCTTTCAGTTGTTGCCTTACGATGATGATTCTGGACGGTGTGAAGTTGACCCATACATCATCATGCTCGTGTGGCCCCCGGTGTTTGCCTCGCCGCGGTTAACCATGCGTGTTCTTATGCGCGCGAGAAGGCGATGAACAGGCTGTGCGGCGCAAACGAATCCCCAAGGGAATAAACGGCAACGGCCTCTTGTGACTGATTTCTGGGGGGCGCGAGTTGTTCTATAACACGGGAATAGGAGGTGTGGGGTAACGGAATTACGCAAACCGCGGACGGTGGGTTGTTGCCAGGGCAGAGTGCACAGTCGACATCCCTAAGTTGACTTTTGCTTGCAACCTTATCCAATAAAATTGACTCGCCTCCTCTGCGAACTCTTCCACGGTGCGGCGTGGCGCGGCGTTTGCTGCGTTGCTTCGGGGCTCGATGGCGGTGTGTGCGCAGAATCGTTGCGTGTGCGTGTTTGTGGTGCGGGCGGAATGGGTTTTCGGAGTGCGTGTTTAAACCCCGGTTGCGTACGTCGTGGTGGTGTACCTGTTCTGCATTTGCGGTGCTGTCCCTGAGCTCCAGCCGTGAGGTGTATGCAAGCAGCTGCGCGCCGGAAAGAACTTTGGGAACTATCAATCCGCCTCCTTTTCTGTGTAAGAATTGGGACTGACATCCTTCGCGGTCAGTGACTGGCATGTTGCCGACTAAGGTCGGTTGCTGTGAAGAGTTAGGATAATTGGAATCGCAGTGATCTCTTTCGTACTCAGTTACCAGCCTTCCGCTTCGGACCGCTTGGTATTGAGGCCATGCAATCGGGCAGTAATAGTTCCTGGCAAAGGGAGTCTCTTGATTCCAACGGACAGCGGTCTTAGCCGTCTTGGATCACAGCTGCTGGCGAGTCAGGACATCCTTCCCCAGGGTGTCGTATATTTGGAGCAGCAGGAAACGGATGAAGTGGCCGCCAAACTCCCCTCAGCTAACGTATTCCTTGAAGGCAGGGGCGGCACCCTGCCAGAAAGCCAGTTGGCCGACAAGCCGCCCGCAATGGTACGTTACAACCCACCAGCCCCACCAAGCCCGCCAAAACCCCCAAGACCGCCAAGCCCGCCGGGCCCCCCAACTCCTCTGCTGGCTTATCCCGGGCCGCCTCTGCCGGCGCCCAGCCGTGATGCACCCTTCCCACCAGCTGAAGCCGCATACACGTTACTGGACTTTGACTCCTATCGCTACTATAGCGACGCATGCCGTGACGGGTAGTACGTGAGTGCGAAACCTGGCGAGACAGGCATTGAGGTCAGGGCCCTATGTATGCTTGCGCTGCTGCTGCTTTAATCTGTTTTGTGCCACTGCTTACGTAGTATGGAAGCCTGCAAGCTGTAGTCTGCTACAGCTGCAGCGGCTGCAACGAACGGCGCGGAAGGCTGCTGTATCCTTCGCTGTCCTCGCGTGGGGGGCCTGATGGGTTGGCTGGACACTCGGTGGGCGGTAAATAACCCCCCCACACACACACTTGCGTATCCTCCCACACAACCATCCCATGCATGCATGGGTCCCGGTGCATCGCATTGCATCGCATTGACAGCAGTGCAGCGGCTCAGACATTCAGACGTGCTGTAGCGCGTACGGAGCAGGTGATGCAGCTCATAGCCTTGTAGCGTTCGGCGACTTTGGAACTCTTGTGTTACTTGTTACTACTATGTCAAGTCGTATGTGTACTGCCTTAAGTGTTATTGTGCGGTTTCTGATTATTAGTACATGGCGTGCTTTGAAAGCGCGGTACCTTGATGGGTGGTTCCCCGTCAACAAGCGTGTCCTGGGGCCCCTTGAGACCAATAATCCCATCGGCTAGGGTCGAAGCGCTGCCGTACTTTGTAACTCGTACGGTACGGATCCGTACAGGCCTCTTGGATCGTGTAAAAGCGTGACATAAGATTATTTGACCTCGAAGATCATCGCGCATTAGATTCTACAGGATGCATGACCTGCAGGCCAATCTGTTTGCGCGGCAAGGCTACGGCGGGATAACGGAAACTTGAACCCACTCGGGCACTCGCCCACCTAGACCTGCAAGGATGTGCGCCTTGAGCCGCAACAGTAGCAACACCACCACTGCTCCACCTATCAACTGTCGTTCCTGTGTGAGTCTACCAGTATACACGCTTGGCTACGGTACAACATAACAGCCCCTTCACCAACAAGCAGCGTACGAAGTGGCAGCAGCGCCTCTTCACCCCCTTTGGATGCCACACTCCGCACTGCAAGCGACATGGGACAGCTCTTCTCTTACACCAAATCAAAGAAAGCAGAAAGGGACTTTGCACCGGCAGGCCACCAGCCCCTAACGCCGCTTACCAAAGTTACGTTGCGTCAAAGCAATTGAACCAAAGCTCAACCAAAGCTGTTGTGTCGTCGCAGCTACCCGACCCCACAGCCTACCGCACCCAGCGGCACTACTGTACTGCAACAGTCAACCCAACCCAGAGGCACCAACATCAATCCCACCCCGGCCCCCACCTCCGCAGTCACATACAGTTTGACTTCTCTCTGCCCCCACACCGCCCCACCACCCACACGTGTGCTATGCCAGAGGGCCTCTGCCGAGCTTAACCTCCCTCATCCCTCATCACCTCCCACCTTCCATGTACACCGTGCCAATAACGGTAGCAGTAGTATTACATCTATTCCAGAAAAGCATGTTTCCCAGCAACCAGTAGAAACAACCGCCTTTACGCCTCTTCCGGCGTTACATAGCAACCAGCATGAAAATCAACAAATTCAAGGATTTGATTCCATCGCATCCCATCGGATCCATACTGTCATGCGGAAAACCTGAATAGGCTTTTATCTTCAGCTTTTACCCAGCTGCCCCTCCGCTGCCAACCAACTGATCGTCGCTGTAATGCTCGCAACCAAACTACCCTCCACGCACCGCTGGCTGCAGCAACTGGCGCAATCGCGCAGGCCCCCTGCCAACGGGCCCCAGCCCTACGACATGACATGCAGGGAAGTCGTCTGTACCCAACAGCGTCCAATGCACCGCGCTCCGCGATGCCTTGCCGCGTATGCCTTAATGTCTTCAGTGACAGCTAACGACCCGTGGGTCATCATCAGGTGTCCATATCTGCCGCCGCAGCACCACCCGAACCTGCATCCCCCCCTATGAAGCCGCCCGCACCAGTTGTGGTGGTGGTAAGGAACCCTGCTGGGGTTGTCGACGCCGGCACTGGGGCTGCAACCCCAACGTCGCACACCGACGTCGCGGGTGACGGCGGCGGCGCGGCGGGCATCCTCGGCGGCGTTGACGGCAGGGTTGGAATCGGCGGCACTGGCGCCGCCGCTGCCGTACGGAGAGCTTCACGATCCGCCTCCGCCGCCTGTACGGCGATGGCGGCGGCTTGCGGCGGTAGCCCCATCGCCGTCGGGTCTATTCCGCGTTGCATGAGCGCCGCCGCCTGTTGCACCGCCACAACCTCAGCTGGCGTCAGCGTCGCCGCGATCGCCGCCGACGGCAACACAGCACCGCCGCCGCCGCCGCCTCCTGGCACCGCCGCCGGCGACATAGCCTGCTGTGTCGTTGCCCCAACCGTCGGCGGTGCACCGATGAAGGGCCCCGCCGCCACCGGGCCCTCGTGGGCCTCCGGCGAGGGCGGCGGAGCGCTCAGGACGGCCGTACCGAAGCCTCGTGGGGTGGACGGGAAGGGCCCTGCAGCCCCTTGTTGCGTGGCTCCTGGGAAGGCGCCGGCAGGAGATGCTTCTGCCGCACTGTCAGCACTGTATGTGCCGCCGCCGCTATCAGCTGCACCGGTGCCCCCTGTTGCCGCCCCAGCCGCCGCCGGCTGCGCTGTTCCAGCCGGCTTTCCAGGCTCGTCAGCGTCCCTGCCAGCGCCCTGGTGGTTGGTGTTGTTGCTGCTCCCTGCAGTGGTAGCGGCGGCGGCAGCGGGGCCGTTGCGCGGCAGTTGCAGGGTGATTGTCGTACCGCCGGGGTGCCGAATGGACGCCACCGCAGGATCAGCACTCCCGCCGCCGCCACCTCGGTCGTCACGAGCACCGCCGCCGCCGCCGCCGCCACCGCTGACGTCGGCGCTTCTGTTATCGGGGCCGCCGACAGCCGAGGCGGGTGTTGTTTCGGCGGCGTCTCCACCACTGGTTCCTCCTCCTCCCGCGGCGACGGGATTTGGCCTTGCACCCTCGGCCGTTGCGTCAGGACCGCCGCCGCCAACAAGACCAGTTAGACCGCCGCCGCCGCCGCCAGCTGCTGTTGGTGCCGCCGCCGCTGAGGGTGAGGGCTGCGGCGCTGCAGCGGCAGCGGTGCCGCCGGGTCCTCCGCCGACACCGCCGACACCGCCGAGAGGGGCTGCCGTACGATCAGCGCCGCCAGCTGCGGCGGGTCCGGGTGCTGTGCTGTACGGCACTGATGTTGAGGCCCCGGCTGACGTCACCGTTGGTGCCGCCGGCGGAAGCATTGCGGGAATCCCGAAACGCCGCCCTGCCTCGCCCTCGCCCTGGTTGCTCGCACCGCCGCCGCCGCCGCCGCCAGTGCTGCCGGGAGGGTAGAACGGCGGCCGTACGGAAGCGGTCGTGAAAGCTGACTCATGCTGCGGTGGTTGCTGTGCACCTCCGACGGAAGGCCGCAGCGCCGTAGCAGCGGCGGCGGGACGCAACGGCGGCGGCGGCGGCATCGGCCCTAGTGCCGGTGACGTCGCGGGCGTCGCCGCCGGGGGCGGCGCTGAGGCCCAGGGAGGAGAGCCCCAGAAGGGAAGGAGACTACTGAACCCTCCGCCGCCGCCGCCGCCACCGCTCCCGAGCCCGCTGCCACCGCCGCCGCCGCCGCCGCTGCTGGTAGCTGCCACGTAGTGCCCCAAGGATGGCTCTCGACACAGATCTAGGCGGCCGCCTAGGGGAGGAGCGGCGGGAGGAGGAGCACCTGTCGCCGTCGCCGCCGTCGCCGTTACCACCATGTTTACAGTCATCATCGTCGTCGCCGTCGCCGTACATTAGCCGCCGCACAAGACAGCGTGCATGAGGGGCACATGGGTAGGTAGGGAAGACGCGAGGGGAATTGGGGTCAAGGGAGGGTGTCAGGCGACATGCTTTTTAACATATATACCGGTAGGTAGTTCCGGATCGGTAGAGGAAGAGCGACCCATGGGTCAAATGACGTCTTGCTTGCTGAGCTGCCGGTATGACGAAGGCTGGTGGGGAGGACCGGCTGGACCACCTGGACGCGCGGCACAACCGCGGACTATCCTGATGTCCTTTTGCTTAAAGACGGGGGAGTCACACTGCCCCGTGTCTGCATCCCTCTTTTGTCCGGCTTGTCATTTACCACGTGTTACCGTACCCCTCCCCTTCTAATACGTAAACAGGCATGTTTGCCCACCTGTCACATCGCCGCCGCTATCGACATCCATATCCGCAACACCACCTGCCGAGGTTGCCACTGCCGCTGCTGCCGGCGACAACGCCCCGCCACCACCATCACCTCCACCACCACCACCACTGCTGCCTCCGAAGCCACCAAACATGCTTCGGAAGGCACCCCCGCCGCCGCCGCCGCCCTCAATGCCGCCTCCTGCCGTACCGGGCTCGCCGCCGCCAGACATGCTGACGTCAGCTGCACCCCCGCCGCCGCCGCCGCCGCCGCCGCCGCCAGGGGCTGATTGGGCAGCCA